AATATACATGGACTTGAAGACTTGAAGGCTGCATCCATTGCACTCTATGACACTAGGTATACATACAAAACGTTCAGAATTAAAATTGAAACATATGTATAAAACAGAATTAAATAATTTATGAAATAATCCAATACAGGAATTTTGTTATTTGTCGCTGTTTGTGTGTTGTTATAATTCCCATCTTCTTTTTTGTCCCTAAGTTCGCTTCCAGAAATATGCTAAAACTAGGCATCGCGTGCATCTGTGATGCTCAATTATTCGGCTAATATAAAAAGCTGCATCATGGATGATAGCTTATTTTATAACTGAAAGTTCAAGGAATATTGACGATTCTTTTTACAAATATCTTAACTCCTACTTTAAAGATAAAACTCGTAGAATAACATTTTCTTTACAATTTTCAGTACGAACAATGCGACTTTGTAGCTTGAAAAAATTATAAACTTCAAGCTTTTACTTCAACTGTAAAAAAACCGTATTTTATTGAGCATCTGAAGTGAAACTCCGGTGCCGAAGCTCTGTCGTTGGTAGATTTGTCTGACTGAGATACAAAAAGGGACCGAAAACTGGGACCTGTACCCAGTCTGCACCCCTAACGAAGTAAACTGTGCGACAGATGCAAAGGGCGGTCCAAAATAGATGTGAAACGGGTGGTTCGGTGTACTACACCCATTCAATTCATTATTGTATATATCAATTTCGTAATATTCCCAGAACTACTTTAAACTTCAACTTTCAAAGATAAAAATTATAATTTTAAATAATGCTTGCTACGCATATGATTAACACGTTGATTGCTGCGCGCATTTTATGTGGTTTGGCGCCAACATGTATATTATGTTAAAATATTATCTTGTATTAATAAAATAATTTGTGTACGTTCTATATGGCATTAATTTCTTCAAACTATTGTAGTAACAGTCGTATTATTTTAAAATTTATCAGTATCGATATTTACTCTAATTATGTATTTTACTATTAATCGTGTCGCCGGTCACGGCAGTCAACGTGTTAAAAAATTACTTGTATCATAAAATTCGTATAAAATGTTAACAAACAAGAAACTAAAAGCTGAACAATATTCCAGATTAATTATACGTATAATTATAATAATAGTATAATTATACGTATGAACGTATATAAAATAAACATTTAACTCTTAAACTACATATCACATTTTTAGAATTTCTGTAAACAAGTAATACTGTTATAGATATGGCTGCCATCCACAAAATACACGGCAAAGATTCATAGGATCACGAGCTTCTTGTATAAGCCTCTCCACTTGGCCAGACACACTGGTTACCAATCCTTCTTCTGTTCCCTGTAATTTCTGTTCTATCCGTAGAAGAGCTCTTTCGGCTGATTTGTTGGTCTCTGTAGAATCTACAAACATAAGATATCGTTTTAATATAACGAAGGAAAAAAGGCAGCATGAAATAAGCTTTCTTGGATTCACATACATTGATTATTTTCGACTGATCTCGACGACCTTTCGCTTTGAATATCGTGAGCCTTGGCTGGTGTTATTGTCCATTTAAATAACGGATCGTACAAGAGTACTTGGAGTAACGTTATAATTATTTGTTTTTGGTCACGTAACACCGTTAAAGTCTTCTCGCTACAATGCCTCATTGTACCCTCGACGCCAGATACACCCATCCCTGCTTCAATATTCCGTGTGAGTCGAAAGGGGATAGTTTCAGGCATCGGTAGTACCTTCCCTTGTTCAAATGCTATACCTTAAAGCATATTTTAAAACGTTAAAATAGAAATACTTAATTAGATATCTATGATACTTACGGTGACCATATTTTTGGGAGCAAAATCGGGGACATAAAAGAAGCTGGGAATTATAAGAACACACAAACGGCAAAAATGAACAAAGTTCTTGTATTGAATTATTTCATAAATTATCTATTGAAAGGAAGGAAGAAGCAATTGAACAAAAAGAATTGCTTAGAGCGAAAAGAACAAAAAACAAAAATGAAGTCTTCATGACGTACAAAATCATCTCGAAATTTATCAATCATGAAAATTGACAAAGAGATAAAAATGAACATAATGACTTCGTAGAAATATCGGATTATTACAATTTATTGTGGGAATGTAAGGATGTGTGTGGCCACGTGGAGGATCCACTGAAGTCAGCGGAAGCGGGATATCGGCGATCATCCGAGCGGAGTCGATATTATTTAGACAATGTAT